TTTTTATCGTTTAGTATCATTAATATTTACGAAGATTTCTTTTTATTTCGATGAGGATACCAAAATATATAATTTTGTTTTATATGAATAATGCATAAAAACCTATAGGTATTTGTCAAAAATGGTATATTAACCTCCAAGTACTACTCAGCCCACTAGTATATCATATGTTGCAACGTATTTTAGTTTGTTTATAGACATCTATTTTATCTCCTATCTTAATAGGTAAAAAATAGAGAGAAAATACGTGAATTGCCTTTAGTAATAATACTAAATGTTGTATACTTATTACAAATTCAACCTGTATATATGCCACCCAATGCATCATTCTTTTCCTACTGTATGAAATTGCTCTCTAACACAAACAAATAAAGTAAGTTTTTCGGTGACTGCATTATATTGTCTTATCAGATAAGCTTATTGTTATGACAAGCTTGCGGTTTGATTGTGGTGACGCGTTTCGGCCATATTTGTATCGAGTAATTGATAGAGCACCAGTCTCAGATCTATAATGAGCTGTCCCAATTTGACAATGAACGCGATTGTTGAATATTGATTAATTGATTTATAACTTAATCATTTTATAATAGTGTCATTTATATCCTTGATGGGTTTTAAGCTGATTAAGTTTACATAAAAAATTCGGCGCAGTTAACTTTACAGACAGGGCGTATGGGGTTGCAGTTTTTTGGGTTTCGTAGCTGTTGATATACAGCTAAAAAACAAAATCTCTACAGAATAATTAATTATCTGCGAAGCGAATTGAAGCACCTTCGCAAAGGCCGGTGACAGGATAGTAACAAAATTAGTGCAAATAGACGCCATATTTTCTGAGACGTACTTGCCTTGCCTACGAATGTAATGAATGACCGGACTAGAGCTTATGGGTTGAATTAATATTTTTCCTTTTTTATAAAAACGGGTCTTCTTTCGTGACGTAAATGACAAGTTGCGTGATTGATTGCAATATTGTATGAAACATAACTCAACTTGTCTAATAAATAAACTGCCATTTTTTGATATATACAATTTCTCGCTCTAACTCCAGGCATAGCTATTTTTATTAATTTTATTAATAAACTACCTGTTTTCCTGGGATTTCATATAAAAGACTCGTGTATGATGTAGGTTCCCATAGGCAGGCACACTGCAAGTGATAGAATTCTTAAAATCGGTCCAGTTCGGAATCCATTCGATGCAAACAAACAACCAAATCTTTCATTTTTATAATATTAGTATCCTGATTCTCAAACATGACTGTTATATTATTTACATGTTTCATTCATTGTTTTGGTTGTTGTAGTTTACTGAATTATACTAATTTAAAAAACAAATTAGACAAACAAAGCTATTTCATAAATTGAAATAAACTAAAATATATTATTTAATATATTGAAGAATAAACATATTTTATAACTACGGCTAGAGTTATAACGAAGGAATTAGGCGGTCGCTCTCCTGTATGAATGAATGACATATTATTTTAGTATCAAAAAGATTTTTAAATGTCTCTAACAGAAGTGAGCCGCTTGTACACAACAAGTATTAATTGAGAAATGAACTGGTATTAATAGATATGACGATTTGCGGCATGTCCAGGATCCGGGAGTCATGTTTTTTGTATACGAGACAGCATTACCAATGAGTTTAGTCAGTAAACTATCGATCGATGATCCAAGTGATAATATCGATCTCACATATTCGGCTTTGCCCAATCGGAATCGGATCAGGATGTGTTACGTAGTGGGGGACAATTGTGCCATTCGTTTAACTATTAATATTCCGTTGATATAGAGTGAGACCTCTTTGAGTGAGACGAATTTAGTAAAAAGATCCGCTTATCATATATTTTACAGTACAAGGTGGTATCTAAGTCTCTAAATACTTAATTGACCTATATATCTCGACATAGTATAAAACAAAGTCGCTTTCTCTGTATCTGTAGGGATAAAGTCCTATGTATGCTTAAATCTTTACAAATACGCAACGGATTTTGATGCGGTTTTTTTTTCATAGTTAGGGTGATTCAAAAGATAGGTTTTTATGTATAATACAAGATCATGCAGGCGAAGCCGCTGACGGAAAGCTAGTTGTAAACAACAATATTTCTAAACCCACTTTAAAACATTAATGACTTGAATCAGGTCATATATTCATGTCCTCGTCTTATACCACCACGGAATAAGAAACCATAGGTAGATCCAAGAAATAAGTGCTTGAAATACAAAGTGTATAATCACACAAACGAGTCACAAATCATTTTCGAAAAGGGAACTCATAAAAAGAACGTGTGCGGGCCTACTAAAACTCCCAACGTGTACCTACCAAAAGTGTAATAAACATTGAGAAAGCGAAGCCCTCGACCCTCTCTGCCTACCCTGAACGCTTACACTGTTTCGCCGAAAATGAAATTTCGTCTATTTTGGAAACCCCTAATAATACTTCTAAGAAACATTTCTGTAGTTTAGGATACAACGGAGCTATAAAGGACCTGATGCTTCCTTTCATGCACAGATCATCTTCACGAATATAATTTCAACAAAATAGTAAGAACGATTCTAAATTATCCGAATAGTCGTTAGTGGACAAGCAGATTAGGCCCTTCGGAATTCAGTGTAAAGACATAGACACTTTCAGCTGACACTGTTGCAAAAACTATTATTATTAGTGCATCATAAATAGAATAATATGTTAAATTTCCAACAATATCATTGGTTACGTACTCAGATTACGATCGCATAATTTACATGTATATAAGGATATAGTTACTAATTCGTGCTATAAAAGCGTGCTATAGGCATAATGCATGACGTCCACCAGTGGCCTATCAGACCATCTCTGTCAGGTTATATAGTTCCATCAATATTAAACTAGAGTTACGTTACTATCTTAGCGCCCCCGCAAGTCTAACTGGTTGATGCTTTGCGAGTGATGTGATAGCGAAATTTATCGATAATTTATTTGATTATATTTAGAATTCTTTGTTGTAAATGTATTATTGGGTTTTTATTTTCAAATCAGTTATTTATTATGAAATATTTTTTTTTGATAGTAATTTACATAAGTATTTTGATGAATCAGCTTTTTGAATTTATTTTTAAAATATCTTAATCCACAATTGATATTGTGATATGTTATGGTCCAATTCTTATTCAAAACTATACATAAAATTCAAAATAGAATCAATATTATATTAATGTATTTCAATTAATTTAATTTTAATAACATTAATTGCATCACTGAGACATCCACTCAAAACAATACCTCCCAATTTCCCTACCAGTTAAAGACCAACAATAAAAAAGATCACTGACTGCTTTTATGTGATTTTTATTAACTGTTTTTATTGCACATTAAACTCAGTACCCCATATTGGAAAATAAAAATAAATAAATAACGTGTTATATCGATACTGCTGAATGGTCAACACGAATAGGTTTATTCCCGCTGACCATATTAGCATCATAAATTCTGGACCAGTTTGTGTTGTGCAAATGCTATCTATCAGTTGTAATGCTAAGCAACGATGGCTAGTTCACATCAAGTGGTCAAGTTAAGACTTCCGGGTTAGCCTTGTGTTATGATAATGCTAAAGCTGTATCGGTTTTAACGATTTAATAGTTACCTATAACTATATATATGCTATATATGCCTATATACAATGACCTGTATCTAAAAATAAGTTTAGTTATTAGATATCTATACTGATAAAATCATATTATAAAGGAGAAAGATTTGTTTGTTTGTAATGATTAGGCTCCGAAACTATTAGACAGATTTTAAAAAATCTTTCACCTACGGAAAGGCACTTCATATGCTGTGTACATAGACTATTTTATTCCGAAAAACCAAATGGGAGTGGAAGGGATGAAAATGGGAAGGGGCTGCAAATGGAATTGAATCCAAATAAACAGTTCTCTGGGTATTACGTGTGCGATGTCGCTGGTGAAAAGCTAGTTTAATTTAATATTATAGCGTTGTTTCGTATTCATCCTATGTCATCTCATCCTATTTCTTTACTCATCCCAAACTAGTATTCCTAACTCAATATAATAAGATATTCAGTTTAACTTAACTAGTTTTTAATGCAAGTGGATTTATAAGTTATGGGTTACTTAGTCTTATTAAAACTTGCACTAAAGTGTAAGTACTTAAACATTAGTGAAGTAAATAAAAAATATATTAACCGTCCTGGCTTCACGTGAGTGATGATTCTAGCAAAATTCGGTGAGCAGTGTAAGTTAAGTTGTAGCTATATACGCAGGAAACTGCAGAGCGATTTCATTACGCTATTCAGTCATAATAAATAATTAACAAGTATATTTTAAAATCCATTTATAATGAATTTTAGAGCTTTTTTATCTGCAGGAAATGCAAGTATATAATTTCCAACCAATTTCCAACTCTGTTTACAGGTTTTAAAGTTTAGGAATATTTATTATGACAATTCATGTGAACAGATAAAACATTATAATTAATGAACTAATATTATAATAAGATTTAACGTTAAAACAAATCAGTGACATCATTGACTGATCTATTTCGTTCCGACCAGTGATTTAAATAAATAAAATAAACTTTTTTTTAATAATTACTATTACGATTATTGCAAAGAATTTGCATAATGCCTTTGATTACAAACTAACTTACATGTTTATAAAGTTTTCCTATTAAAAAATAGTATTGTTGCAACAAAAATAAAATCAGCTGTTTATTATAAGGAAATATTCATAAATTTGCATTTGGACTGTAATAAAACCCTTAGAAATATAACGTAGTTTTATCGTTTTTAATTATTTGTATGTTATATGTTTGTAAAATGATTATGAGATTGTCATTTTCGCGAACGCGCTCCCTTCATCGAGCAAACACATGTTCAATTTCTTATATTTACAATGTATTTGTAATTCTTTAAAAAGAACTGAAAATTTTTAGTTCCTTTTTATGTTTACATTTATAGCAGCCATTCTACATCTATCATTCTACAAAAAATATCGAAGATGAAACAAAAACAAGACAATGACTTGCGGGAAAACACCACAATGCGCAGGCGGGAGACGCGCCGACAGATCGACACCCACACTGGGCGCCTGCGCAGGTGTCGCCCTACCCTGAACTGTCATAGACTATATAATTATTGGCAGACGGTACATTACTACCGTAACCAATCAACAAAAAAAAGCTATGATATTCTGTCATAAAACATCTTAGAATTATATAGAGCTGCAATTTATCAATAAATTAAAACCTTTATTAACTTTCAAAGCAGGTTTTATTTGATCAAACCTCTATGTTTTTATAAAAGAATGCATTACTGACCCAAACCTATAATGTCCCTCACCCGTTTGTAACATGGTGTTTGGTAAATCTACATTTGATATCTCTGCGTCTAATCAGAATATCGCACTTTGATCCTAGACAGCAAAATAAAAGACTGTTTCAGTATATACGCGAATGTAAGAAAATAAAATTATCAATTGAAGGAACGTAAAGGCAAATCATTGAGAACAAATATTAAAATAAAAACGTTAAAAAAGTTTGTAGTTTTAAACAAAAGAATTAGCTAAGTATATACACTTTTTAGCGTTCTGTATCCAAAGGGTAAAACGGGAACCCTATTACTGAGACTTCTCATGAAGCGTGAAAGTTACACGCTTGAAATTTTAAAAACGTATCCGGTCCGGAACCCTACGTGAGCGAGCCCGACACGAACTTGGCTGATTTTTTATAGTGTCAAACTTGACTGATTTTTAATAGTGTAAATGTCGTGATAGTTCTTTCTATATTTAAGTGAATAAGAAAGTACCATTTCTAAGTGCCAAAACTAACGCAAGACTTAAAAATAATGTATATAGGCATTAAACTACCTCGGATAATTCAATATTCTTTGACGTTAGAAAGCCTCAATGAACATAGTCAATGGACGCTTGTCCTAAGTTGAACCTAGACCAAAGCCTTCTTCTCAAACCGGTTGTTATCTGCACTTAGAAACGCGTACAAATGACCCTTTAAGTTTACATGCGTGTACTTTTAACCTGGGCCCGATCTAGGGTCAAAATGATATTTGTCCGATTTTATGTGTATGAACTTATGTTATACAATTTCCGCTGCTGGCCTAGCGGGTCAATTAATACGTATGACTTAATATTTACGAAGATTTTTTTTATTTCACAATTTAATATTAAAATAGAAAGCCCATTTTATAAGGCTGATTAAAGAAAAAAAATAACACAATTTGAAATAGTTTCATGTAAAATAATAATTATAATTTATTAACTCAGTGACATCCAAAAATTTGATCACCCATCTAATGGCAGGCCATTTCAAAGGTTTCTAAAATTTAACAAAATACACTCCTCTAATACTCTCGTCATTAAACTGCAATTATTATCTGTTATTACTTTTATTATTTATTCACGAATAAATTAATTGAAGAAAGTAATGTCCTTTATTGAACATTTGAGTAACTTAATAAATACAGTAAACATAACAACAGTAAAATCGGGAACCTTATCGCTAAAAAGTAATTTCTTCCAAACAACCGTTAGTTAGTTATTTATAACGTAATCACTTAGGTATTACAATACGCATTTCCATTTTATAACATTGTTAAGAATGAAAGGATTAAAATACACTTAAGAGAACGCATAGCGTTGAATATAATACACGTAACATATGCCTTCTCGTGTCCCACAACGTGCCTATCGACGTGTTAGAGGGAGACGAAAGACAAATATCACTGGGAATGCACCATATTTGTTTTTAATTTATTACTAGCAAATTTTTACGGTTATTATATGTATAACTAGTTGTTTTCCAGTCATTTCAGCCGAGTAAATTATTATAAGAATTTTTAAAATCAATCCAGTAGTTTTGAAGACTATTAGATGCAAATAAACAAACATCTTTCCTCTTTATAATATTTATATAGATTACTTGTATCACATTTATTTTCCGCTTAATAATTAAATATCAAAATTGACATTTTAAAGGTTCGTATAATTATTGTCTGTAATTTTAAGTCTTAATAATTTCAAACTTTATATTTCAAATTGTTTTTAACAAAGATTTATGATGCTCACTCAATACTCAAACATTTATTGTCAAATATATATTATAAAATAGCTGTTGCAATGATATAGATGCTTATGAACATATATGACCCTGTCGGGTAGGACAATTTAAAATCCAATTTAGAATCTTAAATTAAAATATACAAGACAGTAGTGAAACATTGTCTTACTTACACAATACATTAATACAAGTCAATAGTGAAATAAAATATGTACACACTTGTCGATGAGAAAAGAGGTTTCAGTTCAAACTTAAAAGTAGCTAAACTATTATTGGCTTTACGTATTGGTATTTTGTTATATATTTTACTGTTCTGAAATCAGAATGATTAACTACTTTGGATTCTTGGTATTTTTTTTTATATTATTGTCATTTGTTAAATAAGATTTTATTAAATCGTGTGCGTTACCTTTGATTCCATACTTGAACAATTTTCGCAGAATAATTCTCATTTTCACTTACTGCATACACGGATCCCGCGAGATATACATTTGTGTTGTATTTTTAATTGAAATTTTATACGCTTGTTATGAGAACACAATTCATTAAATAATTTTAAGATAAAGACTCATTTGGGTCGTGATGTACTTAAATCACTTAATCTTTGTTGAGTAAAAGCATTAATAAATTTATTTCTATTTCCAATGCATAATCGCGCCTTGTGACATACCAATGTTTATATAATATATCATATAATATCGTTGCAAAATTTTGATAATGTTTTAATTTACCACGCAAAACAAGTCATCACGTTTAAAAAAAAAACTGTAACAGACGAACGGATCAACTATGCTATAAAGGTTATATTTTTTTATTTAGTATGAAACTTTTAAACTTCCGCGTTGCATTAAATGAGATTATATGAAACGGGTATTAACGCGATAGATAGATAGGTTTTTCACATACCTATATTTCCCGACGTTTCAACCGGGTTACACGGGCCGTGGTCCCGCGATTGATTAATTGTTAGGTGAAAAGCCTATCAGTCTATTGCGTTAATACCCGTTTCATACAATCTAAACCCTCCTTTGTTTGTTGATTTTATAAATTCACTTATATCTACACACTTAGAAATAGTTATAAATTTTATCTCATTATAATTGCCTGTTAATTTGAAATATATTTATTTTAATATAAGCTGTAAAGCAACCTCTTAAGCTCGCGAGTACACAACTGCATTCACATAAAAGCTTCACATCTTTACAACTTGTATGTTTTAAGTTTTACAACTTACCGTCGACATTGCGATGGAACCGATAAAATTTAAGATAATATTACTATACAGTATATACGTAACGCTATAAGCGATAGTCGTGGGCCGATACGCTTATTGTCACTAATAGAACCTTTTAAGAGTAGGTGAAATATCTCGCGATTTTACTTCGAAAGTCGCCTACGTCTGCATATTAATAGATTTAGAATGAAACTGCCGACGCTAACGATTTTGTGTCTTCCTACATTGAAACAGCTTAAATATCTACTTGGGTTATATAGTTATCTTACATCTAAATTGCAAATAACTCAGGAACTTCCAAATAAACTCGTTTCGAGTAATTTTGAATCTTCCAACATTTTTTCCCTACCATTCATTCAGGACGTCCTTTAGCTGATAAGAAGAACGAGCAAGAAACTCACCATAAGTAACTTGGGAGTAGATTAGTAGAATTACCTTTTGAAGTAGAATGTATATGATGTTCTTAAAATTTTTAATGATTCCTTAAAGGACTTTAAATAAGATTACTAATACTCCGCATAATTCTTTTTCCATTTTATTAAGTCGGTTTAAAATTACAAATATATCGTACGCTGACAACGATAGTAACACAATGCAAAAAAAATAGGATTTTCAGTAATGAGCGTTTAAAGTTCAAGAAATTGTATTCCGCCCCTCTAAACATCGTATCATCACTACGCCACCTAGCAGTTTCTATGCAAACTACGTTCACAGGTATCTTTGTATTTTAAAGTTTATACATAACAAAGAAAAAATTTGCCAAAAGTAAAAATACGTCGTTTTTGGTTAGTGGCATTGTCGTTCTAAACGTGCGATATTAGTAATAAGATATCAATACAAAATTTATAATTTTTTCATCAATTCTGCTTTTCTTCTGTTATTTTGCCCACATCTGGGACTGCAAGATTATGGCGTTTCAGTAGCATCTCTTTTGCATAGTTCTTGTTATTATATCAGAAAATAATAAAAGAACCTCACTGATATTCAAAACGCGTTTTGACGCTATTGATAATAATATTTGGGTTTAAGTGAATAAAGGAAAATGCAATCATTGAAACGCCATTGAAAATGCCATTAATTAATTATCGTTATAACAATCGAGACCGTGGTTAAAATTAATCAGCCATTACATATTCAGTGACGTAGTTTACGATTCAGATCAAAGGCGACCGCTATCGAGAAACGTTTATGATAGCATCTTAATCGGAACCCACACACGGTCACACAATAGTCTGACTCCCGTTTTTTCATTTACAAAAACACCACAGACAATGATGTTATGTCATGTTAAGTCGTGGATCACTTGATTGATCCGCGTCGTAGCGTGTAAGTAAAAATTGTTTGATGGCGAGAAAAAAACAGATTAAGTCGGTTGTTAGGGGCACGATGCGATGACTAATTCAGTGATGGGCCTCTTGATCAGCGCTTTTTGTTGACTCTAATCTGTCTTGTCATGAGTAAACTCTTTCTTCAATTCTCTTTACGTATGTACACACAATATTATAGTGAAAAAGCTTCATTTCATCATCATTCATCACCAGCCCTTTTACGTCTCCACTGCAGGGGCTCAGGCCTTCCTTATGGATGGTTAAGCTTCATTTATTTAATGGCAAATAAATAAATATTAAGATATTTATTTTTTACGGATATACTTTGGTCCAAAATTTTGTTTTATAGACGTGTTATTATTGGCACAGAAAATCGTGAAAAATAATAACGAAATGACAACCCTTAGCAATTATTATTTTAAATTGACTTTCTAACAAATGGGTACCATTATATTGTTTCAATATGAAATAATAACAAACACACTCAATAAAGATTGAGGTTAAACCAGAGCACAGAGTTAGTTACAAACGCCACTTCGCTAAATAAAGCAATAAAAAATTAAATAAAGTAGAATACATATCTATTTATATTTTTATTGTTGCCAGATCCGCAATGGGTGCGCAAGAAGTGCTGGTTTTGGCGATAAGCATCATAGGCACCATGGCGTTTATCCCCCATGGTTCTATTGGGGAAAAGGTAGGTTTATAAATAAGGACCTCAGTTTAGTTGGTACATATGATTTGTCACGCGCTTGAAGAAGTCTGCGTTAGTAAGCGATGATCCATCTGTCCATCCATCCAGACTATTAATGTCCCCATCAAATCAAATCCAATACAGAGAAGGGTCCATGACCCACCACGTATGCCTAGTGCGGATAGGTGGGCGTTAACGACTGCAAATATAGCCTGCATCAACAACATAACATGCCTTCTGAAGCACGGAAGAGTTCGTGATAATATTTTTTTGGTCACCCATCTTATAAGCGGCCCCTGGAAAGGATTCTTAACAACCGTATCGCGTATCGAGAGTAGTAACTTTGGACCATCAAGCTCCTCTAATGTAGACGTGTAAAATTAAAGTGCTATAATTCACTACAGGACCACATCCTAACAGAAGCTTTGCTTCGTGAGGTAGTAGAACGTATGGGCAAAGAATTCAATGACGCCGCATCGAGCTACCTGGACTTCCCGTCTAGTGATCGCCATCTAGCTCTTATGGCACGAGCCAGTAAAGACCTGGAGAACGAACAGCTGGACTACGACTCACTAATTGACGGGAACCCTAATCCAAGTCTACGTGATCAAGAATATCTGCAGCACAGGTAAAATATATTTTTAAGACTTAGATCATTTTTATAGTATATTGCAGATTACTCAATCTTTAAGTAATTAAAGCACTCTACAAGTTGTATAAGTGTGCTCAGCGTGTTAATATTATAATAATTATTATTTTTTCAACAGTTCATTACAAAAATAATTGATTTCCTTAAAAGTCAAGTAAATGCTTAAAGATTATGTAAGCTGTAATCTAAATAATTTGTAATCAATTAAAACAAATCAAACTTTTAATACTAATAATATGATCTATGAAGTGAAGTTTAATTATTTTAAAGAAAAATCTAACTCGTAACCTGTTTTAGCTTCAAGTTTGATGTACCTAGTGGTAAATTTATAAGGCTGCATTTAATTTGTCTATTAACTACCTTAAAGTCTGGGTTGACATTTCACTTCTGACTTTATATAAGTAAGATGTGGTCTAAGAGGTATAAAGTCTTGTTTGTGCCTACCCAAGAAGTGCCTATTCACTCGTCTTCTAAGGGCGGTACAATTTTTAAATTATTCCACTTTCAGATTACCAGATGTTTGTTACATATTAAAGTTACGGTGGAATAACTTACATACATAAATACATTAACCCTAAACAAAATACAATTATTTTTTTGGTAAAAATTAAATCTGTAGGTTGTATTGCAATTATGATGATGCAGAAAAAAATCGCAAAGGAGTGTTAATCATGGACATTGCTATTGAAAAGCGTGGACGGACAATGCCCAGTTTATAAACAACTTCGCACTGAAAAAATAGAACTTACTTAGAAATAGTTTCTCTTAGTTGTTATTAAAATGTTTTTTTATAATTATTAATCTCATCACCATGATTAAGATTACATAATTAACCGAAAAAAAATTATTTTATTAACAACAACAGTGGTAATCTATCACCAATCTATATAGGACCTTTTTGTGTGGAGCTATCCCTGCCGGATCCCACGCCCTTCCCCTAAAAGTGAGGGTAGTTTGGACGTTGCATTTATATTATTAAGACAGAAGACCTCGTTTCGGCCATTTTAAAACCATGACCTGGTTTTGGTTATTTTAAGAATTACTAGGAAAGAAACATTGATCACAACTGTTAGTTAGAACGCCTTGAAGTGTCAAAAAGGCCCCCTTTTTGCCAAAACTATCTATATTCTTTAGAATTATTGTTTAATACGATATTGCTACCATGTATCCTATATTTCTTGATTAAGGAGTAAATGAAGTCTGAGCGGGTAGATGTTATTGGCATCGCGAAAGAAAATCTATCTTCTTTCGACTCCTCTTACGTTCGATACCCGTATCACAGAACTACGTCACCCACCATTAACTTGTACCTGTTCTCGACTCAAAACACTCACTTCTTTTTCTCTCACTTTTCGATTTATCATCTGGTTTTGACAAATACGAATCACTGGATTCCAAACACTCGACAATTTAAAGCCGTCCTCCGATCGTAACTCTTGGGATTTGTTATTTCAACTGACCGAATTCCATTTAGACCGTGGTCATATCGCTTTCAATAACGGCAGACAAAATATCGGGAACTCAAGAAATGTAAAGGAGATAGTAGCAATCCCATAATAAATAATCGTTCTAATGTTAATAACTATGTTAGTTTAAACAACAAATTCTCTCTCAGCTCTTTATGGGGACACCAGTATGTAACTGGAGGTGCAGGTGAAGGGGAACAACGCCTGCAGCCTTCAGGGGTGGTGCCCAATCGTCACATGGTGAAAACAGACGCAGTTCTGCCTGCGTACTGCAACCCGCCCAATCCTTGCCCTGTTGGTTATACCGGTACGTTTATATGTTGATTTGACATTAAATGGTACGCAAATGCAGGTATTTTCATTTCTTGTGTGGGATACAAGCTATCAGTAGTGACTATTTGACTTTTTTAATAGCTACTTTTTGTGCAGATATAGTTTTTTGAAGTCCAGTTGCTTCTCTTAACATAAAGTTTACGGGGGGACAGTAACTGACTCCGGCAACACACATTTAATATAAAAGATATTATTAATTTATTATCTCTCAAAATATCTTCGTAATCACTATCATCTGTTAAATAGCTGTAGCGTGAAGTTTGTAAATATCTTTCAACTGTTTCATTGAAAAAGATTGCGGTAGATTTTAAAGTAAGACAATTAGGCTTTTGATCCATCCAGCTCCAGGCTGAAGATTATTAAAAATTTACCTTATATATTTGTATTATAGAAGATCAAGGCTGCATCAGTGAATTCGAGAACACAGCCGCGTTCAGCCGTGAGTACCAGCTGTCGCAGCGGTGCATGTGTGACGGTGAGCATATGTTCAGCTGTCCGCCAGAGTCACCGTCAGAGCTAGATATGAGGTTCCCAGATCACCACAAGAATCTCGTTGCCAAGAAGTACAAGCCTGATGTGAGTCAACCATAACGTTCAACTTTAGCTCCATCATTATCATCACTGCATGGGGCTCAAGCTTTTCTTATGGATGGTTAAGGAGGATGGACCATGAAACTCCACGCTGGCCCAATGAGGATTTGAGGGATTAACGACTTCAAACGCAGCCGCGACCAACGACTTAACGTGCCTTCCGAAGCACGAAGTAGCTGAAAATAATATTTTTGGTCACCCATCCCATGACCAACCATTGCGGAAGTTGCTTAACAATAACGATCACGGGCTGCGGCGCTTATCCACTACGGTGGTGTTTGATATATGAATCTCTAATAAATCAGTCAAATTGCATCGCGCTCCATTGAAACATGCAATTTTGCACTTTTGATTCGATATCGGTCGAATTGCATCGAACTTAAGTTATCTTAAGTAAAAAGGCTTCTGCCCATTTTCACTAACCTTAAACAAGGCATAGCTTAACTAGAAATTACTTACGATTAAGAATAGCGTAGGCATATTTGTCGTTTCACCAAACCTGTAACGTTGTAATGGTGCCATACCGCTTATTTCGTCCTAGGTCATCCAATCTTTTTGTTTATGATTTAACAAATTTTTTTTATTAAACACTTTTCGTAATTTGAAATTTTGTGTAACTCGATATGCTCTTTCTGAATGGCAATTCATGAAAATTTACCCAGTGAAAACATGGCATCAATTTGTGATACATATAAAAGTGGTATACTATCAAAATACATTTTTATTGTTAGTTCTATTATTTTCACGTATCATAATATAGTAAACATATTATTAATGTTCTATTTGTTCTACAACCCGAGCAAGGAATATGTAATAGTTTTACTTAAATACCTATTATAATTTTAGAAATCCCTTCTGCTTTGTTGGTATAGTTTTTTTTTTTAATTTTATTTACACAATAAAATATATCAAGCAATCAAGCTTAGCCTTTCATTTAGCTAAGCATCGAACCCGTCACAATGTTAGATAATGCCTTACTAAGCACTTGTTTATATAGGCAACGTTTGTCTATGATTTTGCATAGATCAGTTCTTCTTCTTTTTTTTTAATGTATAGCCTATTTGCGTTTACACAATACCACAAATTTCACGTTAATGGCATTTATACGTAAATAGACAATAACAAAAAATATACTTTGAGGTAATAAAACAAGAAAAAATATGCGTGTTCTTTTTAATAACACGAACAATCAAATCATTGTCCATATATAAAAATTGCGAAAATTGAAACTGTCTCATAATATATATCATAATTCTAATATATAAACTCCTTGATTCCAAATTACTAAATTAATTCATCCCTTTACATATCCGTTGTGGCCAAAGAGTAAATGTATATGTCACATTACGTAAATGCCCAGCGTTAGGCGCCGCACAATACATGTCCTAACTTTAGGACGTGATCCTGTATTACACAAATACATGTCCTAACTTTAGGACGTGGTCCTGTATTACACATATAAATTTTCCTCTTGAAATATTCTGTATATCGATGAATACTGAATTAAAATCAGTTGTCAGATTATAATATGAATTTTCACTTTTCAGGTAGAAAATCCTTATTTGACGGGTGAAAGGCTCCCCATAGCGGCAAAAAAGGGGTTCGACGTTAACGTCTACTAAAAAATCTATTATCTTCTAAATTTACGCAATTTAATGTCTATTTCACGTGTCCCCCTAAGTACAGTAAGGGATGCGTACATAAATAAAATATAACAGAGATTTATGACCAAAAGTGGTTCGAATTATAGACATAAAATGTCGATTTTTTTATCAAAAAAACATATGTTAGAAATTTTAATAAAAAATATTGAGACAAGATTTTTTTTACAAATCCTTACTATACTTAAGGTTGATATCTGTGTTACATGATAATGCAACCTCATCGATAGGAAACGGGAAAAAAGAATGATTAAAAAAACATACGACAGCACGTCTCGAGATCGCAGAATACTCCGTAGTTCATTTTAAACGGGAAATTATACTTCATATATAATAAGTACACATCAAATTGCATATGTAATAGTTATATTTGGCCATCTGCTGCGGCAGATAAAATATGAATTGAAAGATAAAATAAAACAGATTTTTACTCAAGCATATCAATAATTAGATTTAGAAATTAATTTGCATGAAAGAGACTTAATTTTTGATATAATCTTTCTAATATTGAAATGTCTTTTACAACCCAGTTTTTTTTTTTAAGTAGAAACCAGTCTGATAATTTTTTACTCTAGTATTGTGAATGAGCTCACTTTTAGTTACAATCTTGCGTTTACAACATTCAACTTGATGCGAAATTGGAGTTTAATATACCTAAAAAATACAGTGTACTTTTAGTTCCGTATTTCTAGATATGCTGTTGAGAAAAAAAATCAGATAACGTACATCGATCGGACGTATTAAAACATAACTTTATTCTTAGGATAAGTATTAGAATAACTTTGATGTAAATAATCTGTTTATAAGGTGCATAGCGCTTTATACGTAACCAAGGGATGGTCTATTTGATAATAATTAAATCTTTTTAAAATACTTTTGTATACTAGAAAAATAATCTTTGTGACATCTACATCTTTTAGACAAATGTTTATCACGTCCGATCTTTGACCGCGAAATATTTTTATGGATGCGAAAATTAATATATTTAGGTATACAAAGAGTCAAAAGCTTTATGACATCGAAAGCATTACATTTTCACACAGCCGATTACAACGGTAGAATTCATTATATTTAATAGTAAAAACATTGATATCATACTATCTAATATATGTAAAAGAACTACTACTACTAGACAAGCTATGCGGTGTATTAAAATATCATTTCTATTGCCGTCTCGCTTGTTTCTTACACTCGTATCTAGTCGAGTAGAAAATTACTCGAGTCTAAGTAATTAATTAAGCATACACAAGAATTTCAATGAAGTAAGAAGAGTTAATATCTTATAATAATAGTAGTCTATTATTAATTGTTAATTTTTCAAATTCTTATCTATATTAAGTTAAGAATATATGTTTAAGTAATTACTTCTACTCAACTATATGTAAGTGTTAGTATTCTAGTTTCTAGTAAACGAGATCGCAATGCGCCCATGTGCGCTCTAATACTCGTGTCTATAGTCTAAAAAGTTATTACTTTTGTAAAAGTAAATGGCATAATTTAACCAGATATTTCTAAACAATATATAAATGAAGTAAATACTGTTAATCAATCGTATTATTATTTCCTATTAATATTATAAATGTGAAAGTTTCTTTGTTTGGATGTTTGGATGTTTGTCGGTCAATCACGCCAAAACTACTGAACGGATTTTGATGCAATTTGGTATACAGATTATTATCTGACTTAGATAATAGGATACTTTTTATCCCACTTAACATTTCCCTAGGGTCCACGCCGGCAAAGCCGCTGGCGAAATCTAGTAGCTAATAACAATTGTATTCTAACTATCAACAGTACGTCGTTCAAATTCTTGTTTATTGGGTAAAAATATCTGCTTAAGTTGTAACATATTTTTCATGTGATTACTTCTTACGAATATAAATATAAAGGTTAGGGTCTTAGATTCTAGTAAGCGAGACAGCAATGCGCCCATACGCGCCCGTACAGTGTCACAATTTAAGTCTAGAGCAGCTTGTCTAGTAGCTAGTACGAGTAGTACACAGAAGTCTTAAGATACAAGACTACACAGACCGATCTCGCCGTCAAATATCCACCATGTGCACAATGCTGGTAGAAGCATATGAGGCCCAATTATCTAATTTTAAAAACGATCGCAATTCCTTTCAATTTCGCATTTGAAAGATATTTACAAACTCCACGCTACAGATATTGTAATACATGTGATAGTGAATGAGATCGTAACTTTTTTTCAAGATTTCGCATGAAACATGAATAAAAAATATCGTTAATAAACATTGATAGGAATTGTCTAAGGCAAACATTAGACGGTAATATTACTTAGTTTAAATAAGTAAGTTTTAATTATGCATTATTACGATTAGAGATGGTAAACGCGATCTTTTATTCTGGCGGACAAACTTTCTTTCAGTCAATAATGTTTTTTAACTCACACGATTTGTATACATATAATTATATGAAATCGGGTCTTGTTCGTGCATTATTTTGAAAAACTATACGGCTACTGCAACGTAGCCGAAACGTCGAGGTAAATAAATAGCTTTTCTTTCCCTCGTCATTATTGCAAGATTTTCTTCATTTAGGGATGCTACATAATACGGCGGCTGTGTATAACAACCCTTACATCACAATTTGTGATAATATTATATGTAAATAAGTGAAAGTTTAGCTGTGACCAAAATTATTTATGAATTATACAAAACAGAGCATTCTGAAAGCAAACAATAAATGGGTATTTAATATTATAGTACGGATAGCAAAATACATCTGACGATAATTATTTAGCTTCTTTTCCGTACATAATTTCAAATTTGATCTCATGTAATAGTCATACTTTTAATTATTTAATATTTACTATTACATGCATCTACCATATGGCATTTTCTTTATCTAATCTAATGTTGAAGTATATGTATGTTTGTCTATATGTTAATTCGTAATATTTTCAATAAAACTGACGTCGCCGCTGTGAATTTTGTTAGCTGTACATATAAATGTAAGTGTATTTGTTAAATTTCTATGTTAATTAACTACTTTTAGTTAGTCATATAATTTCATATCATATAATTTTATGGGAATATTTCACTCGTTTAATTCATTTAATGTATATAAATTTAATTATTATATATATATAAAGTAGTCATTTTATTGTAATATAAGATAAATAACTTGAGGAGGTGAGATGGTTTCTAAAAAATAGTATATAATAAGTAACGAATTGCTGCTATACATATGCCGTTGAAATGAATGACAATTACAAACGCGAACGCATTGACAATATAAAATAATGTAAAAAAACCTAAATTTTACTCAATGATTTTTATACATAAAGTCAAAGAATTACCTACCTAAATTTTATTAAAATAAGGGATTAATAATACTGAAACAATTTATTAAATATAAATATTTGGACTGAAAAAATAAGCAAATCCAATTCAGTGAAGTCAACCATGACCACTTTTTCTGTTCTGAAAAATGATATCTATTCATAATAACACACGGTTTATTCGTTTCCCAACTGGTTGTTAAGTCGGAAAATCTATAAGAAAAAAATTGAACGAAATATATAAACTGCTTCGTATTTCAATATTAAAATATATATATATATATATATATATATATATATAAAATTCGCTTAACCAATATCGACTTTTTATCGAATTCGTATATTTCAAAGTATGATCAAAGATATAACTTAGATCTTTCGTTCTCAGTTCGATCTTAGATCAATTTCTGCAGTTTTGACTGACACCTGATTGTTACGGCTATATATCATTCGAATGCCTTAATATCGACTCCGACAGCGTCACCAATCAAATTGTTACTTATCTTGGCGAGAGTTTGACGTCACCAGGCAGTCATACTAATATGCGGAAGCTTTGCTGACGGCTTCGCTGCGATGGCATTCATAGAAATATAGCTCTTAAGAGTATTACATGGTATAGAAATTGGACTCGTGATTTCATAGCTTAGAATGTTTCAGCAGAACAAGATCGAACGAACAATATATTGTCGATATTTTAGTGTAGAGTGACCCTAAAGTGAACGTCCACAGTGGCCGCACGCACGCAACGAATCTCATCCGCATCTATATCTTTATATGAATTCGTATAGCACTACGTCCTTTATCACTAATGGTCACATCTTCACGCATTATATGATCAAAGAAACGATGCATATCGATGACGTGATATCGATTACTTCCATAAACCTAGTATACATTATTTCGCTTCGTCATATCAAACTGTTAAACGGTACTTTGATGAAAAATCCAGATGCAGTGGACTAATGACATCGGCGAGTTCGTACGATCCGTAGCGTACCGAACGTCCGCTGCGTGCGTTCAGACACTGGACGTTTACCTTAAATCTTTATACTCACATGATTCACGTGGTAGTAATTTTATCCAGCAAAGTAGCACAATTTTTATGGCATAGATTTATTTCAATTGGTCCATGAACAAAAGTCGCTATCAGCCAAAAATGGATAATGGGTTATCACAAATAATGCTTTCGTAAGCTTATCACTTAACATATAAAGTTATGGTTAATGCCTAAACACATATAGCTACATTGATCAAAAATGTGTACGACATTTTCAAGCGCAAAACTCTTGTATAAATGAATAAAATATAAACTTCAACAATAGAACATTCACATGCAAAATATTATAACAAATGTGAAAATTATACTTTACTATTGTATATAAAATATTTGTAAGCTTATCGGTGTTATATTTATAATATCTAGTATAAATCTAGTCAAACTACTATACATATGATAACTGTAGAAGTGACTTCCAGTTGTATTATAAAAATTATGGACGAAATGAGCCAAAGAAAAATGTAGAAATCTTATTTCATTTTTGATGAATAAGAATATTAATATGTATGTTAATGGACAAGTTAGCATAATTAATTTTAATGTGTACTTCATATTATTAATATTTATTAATACTCTTAAAATGTGTCTGTAACTCGCAAG